GGATGGATGGATGGATATTTAGATGTATAGATGAGTTAATAGGATGGATGGATGGATGGATGGATGGGTAGGTGGGCGGGTGAGTGGTTGTCTTAATGAATACCCAGAATTCCTGGGGGTAACCCAGAGGACTTTTTCCCTGAGATTGCTCTGTGATATCTTTACATGAGTATACTCAGGAGAGTGGAGGAGGGCAGTGTATATAACCAGGACCATTTGCTTTCCACAAGCAGGTGGGCATCACTTCATGTTTCACATTGTGGTCTCATCTCTCTACCCCACTGAGATCTTCAGAGCATCTCCTCCAGCCAGGGGTAGTCTGCTTGCCCATTTACAGGTGAAAAAACTGAGGCCTGGGGCTCAGTGAGTAGGACGCCAGCCCCAAATACTGAGGGTGGTGGGTTGGAACTGGGCCCTGGCCAAACTGCAACAACAAAAACAACAACAAAAAACTGAGGCCCAACACATTGAATGGACTCATCCAAGTCACATAACCAGAAAATAGAGGGCTAGGCTCAATCCTGGGTGTCTGGACTCCTGCTTTTTTGACATGCTCAGGGGTTGAGGGGACGGAAAGCCCAGAAATTGAGGACATTCCTTTTGGGTACTCTCAGTGCTGTGTTTAGGAGCGGGAGGGGGCCCAGCCCCTGACTGTCAGGAGCCGCCCCTGGGGGTGTTGGGCACGGAAAGGCTGACAGCAGCTGGCTCAGCTTCCAGAAGCAACATCTTGATGAAGTGGTGAGGAGACAGCCAGGGGCCATCTGCCACAGAGACACTTGTCTGTAGGCAGCTGCCAGGAGAGAGCTCAAGGAAGGGAGAGGAGCAGACCCGTCCACTGCCCACACTCTGTGCCCTCAGGGTCAGCTCTACCCAGACACGGGCTTCCCAGAAGGAAGAGGGCACTGCCTCTCCCCTACCCAGGGCTCCCAGCCTCCCTCTGAAGCCCTACTTGCCATCAGGTCCGTCTTGTGCCACTTCCTTACAGTGTGACCTTAGCCAAGCCACTGGCTTCCTGCAGGGCCAGTTTTATGGCCGGCAAAATGATTTTCATGGTAACCTGCCTCAGTATGACATCCCCAAACAGAGTCCAGTGTGCTTGGCAGGTGATAAATGTCAATTCCCTCTCCCGTCCTAGTTAGCAGGCCCAGGCCTGATGGAGTTAGCAGGGGCCCTTTAGAAAGGTGGAGAGTGAGAGATCTGACCTGGAGGGGAGGGTTCGCCCAGCCCCTCCAGGGGTCCAGCCTCCTCCTGGGCAGGGTGCCCTTTGGCACCCTGTGCTGGCTGCACTGAGGATGCCAGCCCAGCAGTACTTCAAGGACAAAGAACAGCCTCAGTGACCCAGGGCCAGTATGCAGCTCGTGAGGGTTAGTGAGGAAGACGGGAAAGTGCCTTGATTGCTTTAAGCCTTTGTTTCCTAATGATGACAATCTCAAAAAGCTGGCAAGTTCTTTTTTTCCATTCTTGTGATACTTTACTAAGAAGAATGTGGGTTTCAACTCCATCCAGGTAAACATAAAAGCTGTAAAGTCTCCATCTTTTGGCAGGATCTCACCTGATGTGCACAATGTGAGGGTGTTCAGCCTTCCCCCTGGGTGAAGGGCTCAACTCCAACTTGAACCTTATCTTAGAATTGAAAACAGTGTAACCTAAAAATGTGTACCCTCATATTAATTTGAAATAAAAAAAAAAAGAGCTAGTAGGGCAGCGCCTGTGGCTCAAAGGAGTAGGGCGCCGGCCCCATATGCTGGAGGTGGTGGGTTCAAACCCAGCCCTGGCCAGAAACTGCAAAAAAAAAAAAAACAAAAAACAAAAAACAAAAAAACCAGGCTGGCAAGTTAGATGAGATCCTGCATAAAGCACTCAATACGGAGCCTCCTCCTTCCCTGCCTTTCTTTCCCCTCTGTGCAAACCTTGTTCTTCTCATGGATCCTTTCCTCTGCCCCACGTGGCACTCAGATGTCTTACTCAAGGTGTAATTTATAGTTCTTTGGCCTCGTTCTCAGAGAATGATACTGGCAGGGCCTGGAAGACCACCCACATGTGCTGGCCGTTCTGATTTCTCCTCTGAAGAGCTCTGAGTGGGAAGGAGAGAATCGGGGACTAGGCAAGGGCAGAGATAAAGCTTTCCCTCCCCTGCCACTCCTGGAAGAGGTTTACAGCGCTGCACAGAGTATGGCACTGCAAACAACACCCTCACACCTTCCTCCAGCCATCTATGGAAGCTCTACAGGGCCTGTCCCCAACCCCATTCCCTCCCGGGCCTGCCTCAGGGCCATGCCCTGGCTGTTCCCTCTGCCTGAAGCTGAGCTTCGTATCTCACCTTAAATGTCACCTCCTTGGAGGAGACACCCTGGTGATCGCATCTCAGGCTGTCACCCACTAACTCTCTCCACTCTCAACTTCTGTCTAATTCTCTACGTAGAGCACTGTCACTCTCTGATTGAAATTTCTGCACGTGTTTCTTTGCTAATTGACTCTGCTCTACTGAAGTGTGAGCTCCATGTGGCCTCTTCACTGCCGTGTCCCCAACCTGATCAGAGGTTGGCTCAACCATTTCGGTTGAGTGAATGACTGAAGGAATGAATGAATGGGTGAATAGTTGCATTTGTCCAGGGACAAGAGCCCTGAGCAGAAAGTCAGGAAGAGCAGGTAATTGGCTCTGCGGGCGGCCTTGGATATGCCTCTCTACGGTTCACAGGGCTGTTTCCCGACTGAGCATGAGGGGCCAGACCCAGCGATCCCCAGGGGATGCTGTACTCCAAATAGTCTCAGGCTTTGTTCATAGGATAGAGTGCTATTGGCGTCTTGTCTCCCAAGCTCAGAGACATAAAGGGGCTTGAACGAGAAGGGGCATAGGGATGTGAGGAAGAGAGGCAAGGAGGATGAAGGCTGGGCCCATGGGAGAAGATCTCCCTGCATTGTGTCCATGCCCCACCTGGAGACTCCAGAGAAACCTCATTGGGAAGATTAACCCAGGAGAAAAAGCACTCCCTGGGAGTCAGGTGACCTGAACTGCTAGCTTTGCTCTCCTCACAATAATGACCTTTGTCAAGTCCCTTTGCGACTCGCTGGATGGACTTCTGTTAACTCAACTGGACAAGGAGGCAAAAAGCCTACCTCCAAGAGGGAGAGTGCCGGGGGAACACGGGAGCCTCCAGTCTGGCTGTTGGAACCAGGTTCTCACACTGGCAGGGGCTGGTCTCCCAGGCATCACCTCCCCTGAGTCGGTTTCCTCCTTGATCTCACTGGCCGCTGGGCTTTCCTGGTCTTGCCACTTGTCACACTGGCTTATACCTCCCTGTTGCTTGTCTTTCTCCCCCATGGGTGTGTGAAGCCTACAAGGGCAGGGACTGAGTCCTGCACACTGTTGAATCCCCAGGTCCCAGGCAAGGTCTGACTCATGAGAAGGGCTTAGGGAACGTGCCTGAAGGAACGCAGGCATGAGTGAGTGAATGAATGAGCATACTTGGAGTACCCAGTGCAGAAGCAGCCAATCCCAAGGATGCTGACTGCTACACTAGAACTTTCTCTTCCAATCTTCCAAGTCCTCTGCGCTCCCCCTGCCTTGCCATGCTAGCCACCCCTCCCCCCCTCAAACCCCTCTGACCTGGCCTTTCTCTCCCTACAGTTGCCCCCAAAGGACCCAAAATCGTGATGACACCCAGCAGAGCCCGGGTAGGGGACACGGTGAGGATTCTGGTCCATGGATTTCAGGTCAGCCCTTCTCTGAGCATCCGGGAGGGTGGAGGAGGGGAACCCACCAGGCACCAGGTCCCTGGTCGCCTTCTCCAACAGCTTTCCCTTGACCGCCAGCCACAGACAGTGGGTCACAGTCTCCCAATCTGTGTGGTGGCAGAACTGAATGGTAAAGAGGTGTGTGCACCTTTCACTCCCCCACACAGAACTGGGAGCAGACGCAGCTCATCAATCCTGACGTTTTCTCTGGCACTAGGCTCTTTCTGCTCCTGGGGTTCCGGGCAGCCACGCCCAGCCCATCACATGAGAATGCTTTGCCAGCCCTGGCCAGGAATGCCTCTGACCCCCTGCTTGCTCTGATCCAACTCTCCCCTGCTCTGGCCAACAGAATGAGGTCTTCCCGGAGCCCATGTTCACGTGGACGCGGGTTGGGAGCCGCCTTCTGGATGGCAGCACCGAGTTCGATGGGAAGGAGCTGGTGCTGGAACGAGTTCCCGCCGAGCTCAATGGCTCCATGTACCGCTGCACAGCCCAGAACCCGCTGGGCTCCACTGACACCCACACCCGGCTCATCGTGTTCGGTATGGGGGGGTGTGATTGGGATCGGGAGAGAGACCCGGAATGAGCCCTGGCTGGGTGCTATCCCAGGAAGAGGGAGCAGCAAGGGCCCTACATTTGCCCTGAGAGGGAGTCCCACAGGAAGGCCGTGTTTCCCAGTTGTTAAAACTATACAGATACTATGCAGATTTCAATTCAGAGAGACTCTGGGTTCAAATCCCAGCTCTGCCACTTAGCAGCTGGGCAGCCTTGGGCAAACTATTTGACCTTTCTCAGTTTCTCCAGCCCCCAGAGAAACTGTGTGGCTGCCCTCAGACAGGGCACGTGAGCCACATGAGTTCTGAATCATCCACTTTTGGCTTCTCTTTCTGTGTCTTTCCAATAGAAAACCCAAATATTCCAAGAGGAACAGAGGAATCCACCGGTAAGTCCCTGCCTTCACGACCTCTTGCTTAAAAGCGAGTGATTTCTGGGGCTGCAGGCACCCCTCCCCTACACTTCAGACAGGCCTTTAATGTACCCTCTAGTAAGGCAGATTTGAGGTCAAGGGTGGTCAAGGATGGGCATTAAAATAGTACAGGGGTCTTGCCATGCCTGAGCAGCTGGCTGTAATTCTAGGACCCCTCCCACTGCACATAGCATCTCTCTTAGCTCAGAGCTCGGCTGTCCCAATCCCAGGAGGATGTGTCCAGCATTGACCATGGGGGCTGTGTCCTGGGGCCCTGGACCACTTCCTAAGACAGCTGGGAGCACAGACAGATGCCTCATCTGGGTCCCTTTATATTCCCTTCCCGGTATTGCCCCCACTCATTGCCCTGATGTGAGCACAACCCAAGGGACCCAAACTCTGCTCCCAGGCCCTCCACCCCTGCTGTCCCACACTGAGCCAGGCTCACAATTCACCACAGAGGCTCCCAGGATGGTCCCCACTGGATGATCCTGATGGCCACCAGCAAGCCTGACCTCAGCTTAGCAAGCCTGGGCAGGGACAGGGTCAAGGACAGGTAGGCAGGCCAGCTGGCAGAGCTGGGCTTTGAACCCACTCAGTTCACCCTGATGCTGAAGTCCAGGGTCTTTGTGGGGCACCCTGATGCTCTGCCATACTGGAATGGGGACTGATGTGCAGACTCTGACCTCTTCCCTGCTGCCTGGCACAGGTTCCGCATCTGGCCCTGCTGGCGCCTGGCTCACCTTGGTGCTTGCCCTGACAGTGGTTCTGGAGCTGACGTGAAGGCACGCCTGGCCCCCACCTCTCCACTGGGCACTGACATCTCCGCAATTGGTTTTCATTTCTTTTCTAAACTATTTCCAGTCTTGTTCTTAGTATCTTTCTGTCTGTGTCTTGGCTTCTTCAATCAGTTTAATTAAAACAAACAATTTTCCCCACCTTGCTTTGTGGCTGTGCATTTTTTATTTGTTCAATGGCAGCAATTGGGCATCTCCTGGCATCCAGTCCTGGCACAGGAGCTGAGGGAGGTGACAAAGGAGATGGAAGGCACCTCTCCCAAGATGAAGGGGGTTGGAGAGTGAAGTTCATCACTCACCAAAGTCCTAACAACCAGGTGTGGCAAGTGGTTAGAGACTCATGAAACCCAAGATTCCCCAGGGCTAAGTGTAACTGTCAGCTGTTTCACAATAATGCTGCATAACAAGCGAACCCAAATCTCAATAGCTGCAACAACATGCACTTATAATTATTTATGCTCATATTGGAGTGGTTCTTCTGATCTAGCCTGGGCTATACCTCAGACTGCACTCCCAGATGTGGATTGGCTTCAGGTCTCCTTAATGAGTTTGTTTCATGGGTGTTTGTTCTAGGGCCCACACAGAAGGGAAAGTGACTATCTGACATTTTTGTTTTGCTGTATCTTATTTGGTTTTCTTTTATTTTTTAAGACAGAGTCATACTCTGTTGCCCAGGCTAGAATGCCATGGCATCAGCCTAGCTTATAGCAACCTCAAACTCCTGGGCTCAAGTAATCCTCTTGCCTCAGTCTCCCAAGTAGCTGGGACTATAGGCACCTACCACAACATCCAGCTATTTTTAAAGACAGGGTGTGGCTCTTACTCAGGCTGGTCATGAACCCTAGAGCTCCCAGGTCCTCCCACCTCGGCCTCCCAGAGTGCTAGGATTATAGGCATGAGCCACCATGCCCGGCCACTAACTGACATTTGATCCTTTTATGGTGGATCATCAAAGTTCAAGAAGATACCTAAATCATGCAAGCACCTTTAAGGCTTGTGTCATGTCCATGAACATTCCTTTAGCCAAAACAAGTCACATGGCCAAGGCCAACATCAGTCACAGTCATGTGTAAGTCAGTGGTAGAGATACCCCAGAACTTTCTACTTGATCACGAGATGATTCCTCATGTCATTCAGCTATTAGCTTTATGGGGTAGGATTCAGAGTTCTGGGGCAGGGGAGGGTGGTGGCCTCTCTGAGCTGTGGTCAAGGCTTAAGCATCAGCAAGAAAAGCCCATGGAAGACTGCATCAGTCTCAACAGGACAGATTGTGCTGTAGTAACACACTGACCCCAGAGTCTTACTAGTACAACCAAGATGTTTCTGGGGTTCACAAAGAGCTCAAGGCAGGTTGGGAAATCCTATTCCATCTCCAACTGAAACATATGATCTCTAGAATCCCCAGGGAAGAGGAAGAGAGGACTGGAGTATCACTGTGATAGGCAGAGTAAGAGCACCTCCAAACATGTCCATGTCCTAATCTCCAGAACTATGTGGCAGAAAAAAAAAATTTGCTGATATGATCAAGCTAAAAATCTCAAGAGGCAAACATGAGTCTGGGTTATCCAGGTGGGCCCAGTGCAATCTCAAGGTCCTTATCAGAGGGAGGCAAGAAGGTGAAAGGCAGTAGAAGGAGCTGTGATGACAGAAGCAAGAGATGGGAGTGATGTAAGGCAGGGGCCATGAGCCGGGGAATGCAGGCAGAGTCTAGAAGCTGAACAAGGCAGGGAAACAGGTCCCACGGCCCCTGTAAGACCCATTTCAGACTTCTGATTCAGAACCCAAAGAGAATGCCACTGCGTTTGTAGTGGTTTATGATAGCAGTAATTAGGAAACTAATACAACCACACAGGGTGTGACTAAGGGCCAGGCCAGCTACTGCACAGATGACTTCTGCCCACAAGCCCAATAGCCAGGAGGAATCACATGGCCTAAGTCTCACTGCAAGGGGGCCTGGGAGATGCTGTATTCTTGGAAAGGGACATGGGGCAGTGAACCCAGAGCACTGTGTCTGCCACTAAGAAGCTGTGGTTCATTCAGTGATTCATTGCTGTGTAACACCACCCTGGCCAGAAGGGTCAGAAAGCTCCCTCTCAGAAATGGCCCCCACCACCTCTGCTGCACGAATGCCCTAGGCTTCTCCCTCCCCAGCCAGGAGAGAGGACGGCCTTGAATCCTCAGGGTTCCTCCCAGGCCATGCAAATGTTGTAGGGAACCAAGACCCAGCTCTACAAAAACTCCAGACACATCAAGCTGGGAGCTGAGTGGTGGCTCTGTCCCCTTGCTGTCATGAGAGCCCTTCTGGCCCCAGCCAAGTCAGGACCCGGACGACCAGTTTGATTAATTTCCACATGGACTCTCTAACTCTTCCCTGGATCTCCAGAATTAAGTCCCACTTCCTGCTATCAAATAGGTATTTCCAACTTTGTGTGGCTAACACCCAACTTTTGATTTTCTCTTCCAAAACATGCTCCTTCCCTAACCTTCCCCTTCTCCAAAATGGTACCATCAACCCAGTTGCTTGGGTCAAACATGTCACTGTTCTCTCTCATTCAGGCTATAGAGATGAGTAGGACTCTGATCTCGAGTTGCTCACAGTTCAGTGAGCAGCAAACATTTACTCAGCTAACCAGTGGTGATCACACCGTGACAAATGACTAGCACAGGCACCTCCTCTGTACTCTGGAGCCTTGAGGTGGGAGGGATGAGTCAGAGGAGACGAAAGAGAACAGATGACGGAGGAGCAGAACTTTGAAGGAAAAAGGTTGGCCAGGCAGACAATGGCAGAGAGGATTCTAGCATGAGCAGCTGGGACTGAGGATGATTTGGTATGTATTTGGGGAAAAGATAAGAAGTTGTATCAGTGCTTCTGAAAGCATGTTAATTTACACAACAAATATTTACTCAGCACTTACCATGGGTCAAGAAGTGTGATGAGTGCTGGAGATTAACTAGGAACATGGGCATATGGTGCTCGTATCAGTTATCTATTGCCACATGATGCTGTATAACAAACATCCTCAGAATGGCGTAGCTTAAAACAACAGCTGTTTCTTATATCTCCTTAGGCTGTGGCCAGCTGCTGAGCCAAGCCAGGTTTGGCTGATCTAGCCTGGGCTCACTCTTGCATTCATAGTCAGGTGCGGGGAAGGTGAGGGGGTTTGGTCTAGGGTGACCTTGGCCAGGTTGACTCAATTATGCTCACTCCCCAGGAAGCTAGCTAGCCCAGTGTGGGTGGATGAACAAGACAGAGAGCCAAGGCACACAAGACCACTCTCTCGTGGTCTAGAGTAACCTGCACACTGTCACTTCTGCTGCACTTTGTTAACCAACACATCTCCCAAGGCCAGTTCAGATTTAAGCAGTAGAGAAATAGATTGCACTTTGTAATGAGAGGAGCTGAGAAGTCCCATCCGTGGTGGGTGGATGCAGGGAAGGAAGAACAACTAGAGCTGTGTTCATGGTCTACAATCGTGGCCCTACATTTTGAGATTGAGGTTCTAGAATTCTGGTCTCCCATGTACCATGTCACAGGTTTTCATTTAAGCTGGGAAACCCCAAGGCCTCCTCGTGACAATTTCTCTTTGAAAAATATAACAAATAAATCCATTCATTCGTTCATTAAATATTTGCATGCCCACCTTTTGTAAGTTGATAGCAAAGTCACCTATAGATATAGATAATCTTCAGTTGCTGAGGGCTCTCAGATATTCATCAGTGTGTGAACATCCAGACCAGATCAGCAGACAACAACCACATGGTACCCCCAGCCTCTGCAACCTACTTCCTTCTTCCCCACAGTTCTGCTGTCTCACAGGATCCACCTGCCCCCTCTGTTGCCTGCCAGCAATTCTACATAAGCTTCCATTGCAAAGTGTCTTTGCCTGTTTTCTGGAAGAGATAACCAAAAAAAAAAAAAAAAAACTTATTCCCTCTCCTTGCCTTAATAGAGGGAAGCGCATGTAGGCATGAAATTGGAATTGCTTTGCCCTATTAACAGCATGGTTGTTGGGCTCCACTGACCCCTGAGGTGCATGAATATCTCAGCAGCAAGTGGATGAACCACAAAAAAAGTGGCAAGAAACACGCCCAGAGGGAGCCAGCTGGGAGGCTAGAGGGCTGTAGAGGGTGGGGCAGCTGCCTGCTTTTGGCTTTGAATTTGAAGACTGGGAGCCTTGAGCAGCTGCAGGGGGTGGTTTATTCAGCCTGGGATGGAGGGCTGGGAATGGGGGATGGGAGGTGAGTAAAACAGGGCCCAGCTTGAGAGAGGAGACGGATCCTCATTTATCCAGCCACTTGCTCCCTCCCTCATTTGACAAACCCCCGAGCATCACCCAGCCAGGGGAAACACAAACACAACCAGGCAGGCCCTGCCCCTAAAGAGGAATGACAGCCTGGGGGTGGGGGGAGGACTGCAATTACTTATGACAAGTACTAGAATAAAAGTCTGAAGAAGAGGCAGTCAGGGCCCAGAAAGGGCGAGAGATTGGTCTGGCACAGGGACGCCAGAAGAGGCTTCTAGGAAGCGGTGACAGAGCAGCCAGGTTTTGAAGGATAAGACAGGGCATCAAAGTCAACTCTGCCACCTTCATGTTTTGACCCCAGCTTGGTTCAGATTCCTTGGCTGTCTCCCAGGCAGCAGCCCAAATGCTGCAGGTCATAAGTGTCCCTGAGCTCTGGTCCCATTTTTATTAACACTGAGGGACATCAAATTAAAAAAAAAAAAAAAAAGGTAGACTGACATAGCTTCTGGTCCCCACCAGATCATCATGTTCCTGATCCCTTGGAAGCCGCATCCCCACCCATTTTTCTTCTCATCCATGAGTCCTGGTCTCCATCTGGCCTCTGCAGACCACCCAGGGGTGTTCGGACCTTATAGAGATCCACGGGGCTAGCCAGCTGATCACTACTGGCTTCAGGTGTGCCCAGAAGATGCAAAGACCACTGCTGGACATCGATGGAGCCACTATCCTTGACACTCACCACTCAGCCCAGGTGTCAGTCCCCCACGTGGCTTACACCTACCACTTAGCATTCTCCATGTGTGGCAGCTCCAAAATGGGGGTCTTTTCACTGGCCTGGGCTCTTCAAGTGTGAACATCCAGGGTCCTCCCCATCACTCAGATCACAGGAAGCCAGGG